TTCAATGGATTTTGATGCGCCAATTATTTAGCATCCGTCTGCATTCAATTACGTTGCACATCTTCGTGTGAAAACGGAAATTTCATAGACCGTAATTTGAAATTTTAAGGTTAATTTCACGTTCGAATTTTTGTTATAGGCACAGATAATAAAGTCACAGAACTTGGGTTTTGTTTGTCGTTCCATCAAATTGCAATTTTTGACAAAAATATATTAGAAAAAGAAACTATAACGTCTTTCTTTAAAAAAGTTGAAGTTATTTCATGCAATTTTAAAACATTGCGTTTCGAAATTAAATTTTGGCCAAGTTTTTCTTTCGGAAAAAATAAAGTAGCATTGCGCGGTTTCGTGTGAAATTGAATGGAAGTAATGCGAGCTCATGATGTTTGCGTGGAGAATTTAAGTATGGCAATCGGGCGTGCGAAAGAGGACCAATTAACGGTTCGAAGTTGAGGCGCGGTATATCGCCGTTCCCAATTCCGTTTTCCAGCCACTCGTTCGCTCTTCATAAACAGCCGATGGAGTGGTATTGGCAGGGAGAAAAAAAGTGGCATCAGAATGGTGCACAGCCTACGATTTCAAGTATCTCCGAATTGATCGCTTAATAATGCAAATGCGATTTCAATCCTTAACTCTCCCGAGCGTTCGGTTTCTAATAGGATTCCGTAAAGCACTGACTTCAGCTTCCGTGGCATCGGTAACCTTTGCCAGTGAATCGCTGACGTTTCATTGAACGGCGTGGTAAGCCGCCAATTGAATCGTGATTAACGTCAGATATTTATTAGGAGCCATTCGGAATTTTTCTGCGCCTCGGGACCCTGATAAATTTGATATTTCTCGATGCTAATTTCCTGCAGCAATTTAGATTTCCAATGTGAGAATGAACTATACATTTCTCGAGGTTGGAAGCTAAAGCTGAGCGTAGCTCATTTTTGGAAATAGTAATATTTCTCTGCTTACCGATTTGGTAAATCAATCTTTTATGGCGTAATGGTAATAATTTCTATTTTCTGATTTTTCTTTAAAATATTAAGTTACATAGATATTAGATGCAATAAGAAAAGAGAGAAACATTTTTATGAGAACATTAACCAAAAATATTTTACTGAACGCTAAGCATAAAACTATTTTTATTTGCAGAGATCTATCTTCAAAGATCGATTCAGCGCAGTCTTTTAAAAAATATGTCGTAATTATAGTATTAATTATTAAATAAAATTATAGTATTGAAAAATTGTAGTAACTATATTAAGATTATAATATATTTAATTATAAACTTATGCTATTAATATTATAGATACAAAGTATATCACGATTGAACTATTAAAAAACTGTATCATAATTACTACGAATTGTTTAAAACATAATTTTCTAAAATTAATTTCTACGCTAATCCACTATAATCTTTTACTTTCATTAAGATTCGCGAGAGACAGCAATGTTGAAAAAGTAATCTGACGTCGTGTAACTTTGCTTTGCAATTTTAGTTTCGCCGAATAAAATACTTTAACTTTACGAAATTCATCAGGTTTCTGGCGCGGCCGTCAAAGTGTTAAGAAATGTCAATTAAATTGCTAAAGTAGTCTTTAATATCGAGAACTCCGGAAGTCCGCCAACAGAGGACGGTAATTAGCTCTTCTGGCCTATCAGTTCGAAGAAGATTCACCATGATCAGCTAGCCAGCTGTTGCGCGACCGTGACACGTAAAACGGCCATAAATTTGCGTCGTTTTCCCGCCAGCACCTGAATTCGAAAGGGCTTGAGAAGCCGGCGGTGGGATCAATCAAAATTTAGGCGGCATATTCGTATCGTTTCGGGTATGTCGCTCGAATGCGAGCTTCGCCGCAAATCTTGATTAACCTCTTCCGTCTTCGTCTACGGGAAGTTCTGAAGTCCCCGAACGCAGTGTCGGGGGTGGTAACATCCATTTTCATCTCTCAATGACGCGTGTCTTGTTCGAGCCGACGATCGCTCACGTCGCTGCAAGCAGCAATTCGTTAAACTGTTACGGCAGAAACGTTTCCTCGTAATACTTAACTCTCGATAATTGCTGCTGCTTAACTATCAATGACTTTACAGGGTGTCCCAAATTTATGGTACTTTCGGGAAGTAAAGGGTTCCTGAGGTTATTTGAAGGAACTCTTTCCTCAGCGAAAATGCAATCCGCGGCTCCGTTTACGAGTTATTAGCGAAAAACAGTGACCAATGAGAGGCGAGATCAGCAGGCGCGAGGCAGTCGAGCCAATGAGTGGAACTGGGCGTCGTCCGCTCGTTGGCTCGGCCGTATAGTGTCGGCCGAGCTCGCCTCCCATTGGTTGCTGTTTTTCGTTAATAACTCGTAAACGAAGCTTCGGATTGTTTTTTCGCTAAGGAAGGAATTATTTCAAATGGCCTCAGGAACCCTTCATTTCCCGGAAGTTCCATAATTTTGGGACACCATGTAGAATCAGGCTTCTAGATACGATAATGACGAAGGGAAATTCATCTTTTTCTTTTTTAACGATTACATTTTGCTTATTAACTTCCTGTACTGTGATTTCTCTCGCAGTCACAGTGATTAGAATATTTTAGATTTTAATGATTTCTTTGAGAAAAAAGAAAACTCTTGATTCTATGTCCTCGTTTACTTGACTGTTTAAATATTGTTAACTAATCGAGGGATCATTATGCATCACAGCATGTTCGAATTTCTAAAATGCAAGACATTACAAAAGTAACGGAAATTATATAATCTCAATCTAGAGAGAAAATTTTTTTATAATTCTGATTTTTGTTAAATAATATATGAAATTATTTACTTGAGTAAATGATATTTAATTTTGATTCGAAGAATATCTACATCTAACAGGTTATTACCAGACTACTGATTTTATGCAGTTATGTCAAAAATGAATAAGTCATATACGAAACTGTAAAGATATTAGAACCATTTAACATTGCTGATGTATTGTTTACGATCTACCGATATTATTAACAGAGAAAATGATTTTCTATTCACCTCCCGTTTCTTGCAATTGATGCAGACAATTTTTATTTTGCATACAAATGCTCGTTAAAGTGAGTCAAAGGGTTAAGTGAACTATTGCAATAAAAATGTGGTCGATTGGTCTATGTCGGTGAATTGTTGATAGTGAAGCGACCTTCTACATCAAAATCGGAGCTCAGTTTCGCACTCATAGAGATAATCGTCTTGAGTCTAGGGTCCGATAGTGTGTGTGTGGTCACTGCTGAATGCCGATTCAGCGACTTTTTACCATCACTATTACTACCGTGTCCGTAGCTTCTACAATTGGGTCATGCTACTTCCAAGCATTCGAGAGCACGGGATGTTCCCTAATGATGGTATTCGGCTTATATCATGGTAACCAATTTATCGGGACATCGATCGACATTCAATCGACGATGCGCGTCTTATATTGTATTTTATCGATTCTTTGAAGTATTACGTAGCGGAAAAATGAAGGTCGAATACTTTTTGTAATAACTCTTACTGCTTATTGAGTGTGAGAATAATTATACACTATTATAAATAATAATATTATAATTATACTGCAATATAAACAATATGTTACATGCTTCGTTACAATATGTAGTTTTAATTCGAGAAAACGTATATTTTTTAAAATATCAAATTCTATTCAAACGCTGACGATGTGTAAAGTTTCTTAACTTTCGACGATAAATGTACGAATGCAATGGTTACTTTAAACTGCTGTAACTTCGCGAACAAAAATCGCAGCCAAGTTTCTTTTCTTTTAAACTAAAGAGGAAGAATTGAACTTTATCAAGCTCTAAACGGCATCTCCTAAGAAAATTTTGCGAAGTCCATGCATTTCGTCAAACTTGGCAATATTGAATATAACAAACATGGCCTCGCATTTAATTTAATATCGCGGTTACAGTAGTGTGGGTGTATCGAACATAAAATCCAAAAACACTGTCTTAAAGTAGAGCTTTCAAGCTTCATTTTAAAGGGAAATTCATCATCCTACAATGATTTTTCGCAAAATCATCGTCAGTCAAAGTCGGCCAAGTTTTTCCCAAAACTTTTTTCTGCTACGAACTTTTCTATACTGAACGAAGGTGATATTAAACTCGCGTATTTTTTTCGTTTGATTTTTCACAGGCAGAAGTGTTGTCGAAAAGCGGGAAGAGATATTTGCACTTTGTTTTATCTCGTATCCTCCGTAGCCGTTGGCATTACTGGCTGACAGCATTTTGATACCCGTATAAAGTTGTCCGTGCTAGGGAAACCGGTCGAAAACTGCATCCGTTTTTTACTTCCCGGCGTAAACTATATGAAATATGTCAACGCGTTGACAATAGGCGTCGGTGTGGTAACAGCAGCACGAAACAGTTCCCGACTTAAATCACACATTTACCAAAGCGTCTGTCGATCCATCGACGTTCTCCGTTTTACACGCGGTTTCCATTCACGTTCCACGCCGTTCTATTTACACCCAGAAGTTGTCCGCAATCGGCGACTAAATCTGGATTAAAAGAATTCACCGTGCATTTTACGCGCCACGAAATCAATGTCGATTGGATCTGCAGAAGTGCGCTGTAATTTCGCGCACTTCTACTCTAAACGAAATCGTTTTCCGCACTGATTTATATCACAATGGAACGTCTGAATATCTACAAATTTCATACGGCCATTGTTGCAGCAAAAATACGTGTTTAAAATTCTGTGGACATTTTTTTACCCTCCCTTAAGCACGATAAGATTAAGATAAAAATGCTCGTCATTGATTTAATAATATCAGTAAAATAATGCTGCTATTGTTACGTATTTCATTTAAAACAGTTTTAAGTATGTAAAATAACTATTATGAAAATAACATTTCCAAATATTATTTCTGCGTTTCCGAGGGAGACAATCGAATGCCTTGATGCGAATAGGTTGATCAACAATAGATTGGCCCAGCGTGTAAATATTATTTAATGGTTTATAACAGTTTGCTAGTCAAATACAATTAATTTTCGTTGATCTGTTCCAGAATTTCCGCGCCGTTTCAAGTAGCTGCAGCCGCGCTGGTCCTTGCCGCCACAATCTCCGCTTTAATTGGACATTGTTATTCGGACCATAGAACACTCGTTGCTTGTGGATTATTCCTCCTCAGCGGTAAGCACGCAACTTGAATGTCAATTTGATAAAAACTTTAAAGCTCGATTAGCGTCCGCTATGTCGAACCTTCGGATGCTAATTAGGCAGACGCTGCTCGTAACGCTGCTAACTTACAAATAGTTTCTCTAATGGGGCGAGCAATCCGTGTTTGTTTCTATAAACATTTCCTGATACGACACGGAATAGTAATCTTTTCAGTTTTATACAAAATGTATAAAAAGATCTGGTGAATTTAAAAATACTATTGCATCAGTATCAAGTTGTTAAAATTATTAAGAGAATAAATAACTGCAGACAAATTTTTATTTTGCATTAAAATCAGCTATCTATTAATAAGATATTATAGCTAAAGAAAATGTTGTCCGAGAAAGTTTCGTAGTTTTTTCTCCAAGAATTAGAAAATGCATTTTTCCTTCACGAATTTTCTAATTCACCGCCATTTTGCCGAAGCAATTTTGTGTCGCACATTTTCTTCCTATTTTACATACAGTATTTATTACCAACCAATATTTAGTAAGAAACGTAGCAGAATTTTATCGCATTATTTTTATTTTACTGTATACTTGATTAAAAAAATACTCTGAGGTGCGAAACAATTCAGAAAAAATGATTTTTAGATATTGTACTTGTAATTAGACTACGGATTTCATGCATTTATGGCAGATAGAAGAATGAAACAAGTTTTAAACATTAGACTAATTTTAAAGTGTACCTATAATATGTTAAAATTATTGAGAGAAGAAAAATATTTTTATTCAACCCTTATTTCCTACAATACGACAAATACTTCTTATCTCGCATAAAAATTTGCAGCCTACTTATAACGCTCCTTACCAATTAATATTCATTAAATAACATAACAGAAAATTTCAACTCACAATATATTAATAATAGAGATCACTTGATTCCTCAACTTTTAAGCGACCGCATTCTAAATTTTAAAAAGCACTACATAAAAGACTTCTTCTCCCCCTTTTATTTTCAACACCCTAAAAAATATATAACCCTAAACGTCTGAGAAATATTACAGCGATCCTTTATGCATTTTACACAGTAATTCCGTTTCAAAAATCATTTACACGCTTTGTTTATCCACTACCAAGTGCTCCCGTAGCTTCGTCCGTCGATTCCGCGACGTTGCGACTAAATCCGTCTGCAGGAACTAATTTAGCGTACTTAGCCGGAGACTGAGTGGCCTAATGATTAAACACGGTATTCTACTTTCGCGGGAAACCCGCAAGAATCTGTGCTAGATCCGTCGACACGGGATCGCTGCGTAAACCAGAGGAGGCGTCACGACGGCGTCGCGTTGCATCGCGTTGCATGACGACGCATCGTCCGTTGCACCGGCAGCAATCTGCTCGCCGCGAAAAGTACATTTCACGCTTAGCACGACCAGCGGCCTTATAAAGAAAAATGTCGGTCGAGTCGTGGCGCCATAAAGTATCATAAGATCTGCGTCCGTGCTGCAGCGGCCGCCTTTAATCAGCGATGATCCGGCAAAAAATCGTTGACGCCGAGAGAAATCGCGCGCGGCAAACTTGGTGATTAACAGGACGGCAGGACGTTGCTTTCAACGCGTAGGGTGGCAGAGAGAGAGAGAGAGGAGAGAGAGAGAGCGAGGGCGAGAGAGCAAGGGGCAAGCAAAAAGCCGATAAAGAAGCGGGAGAAAGGGCAGCGCGCGATTTTCGAAAGCGGACAGCCGAAGCAGTTTGCTCGCCGGTCACGTATCGGGTCCGGGCTCTTTCTCTCTGCGGTGCTCGGGCCGACGGTGTATCAACCGCACTTTCACCGCCGTTGAAAAGCTAACAATGTGATCCCCCGTCTCCGACCGAACTCCCACGGCAGGGGTTCGCACGTGAACAGTTCATAGATCACCGAGATCGCGGCCGGGAACCGGCGCGTCTTTATTCCCCACGGCGATTCGTATTCTTCGGGGTTAGCTCTTTCTTAATATTCGCCGAAACCTGTTTATATACGGGGACTTGGGAATATTGTTTTATTAAATCGCTTTCCGGTTTAACGAGCTCCCTGTGTACCTGCTGCTGCGGCGATGATTTGGTATTTTCGCTTACGGTTAGGCTCCGTGGATGCAGATCATGCATGGAGTAAACTTCGGTTGACGAGATATTATTTTTTAAAACATCGTTTGCATCATTATTTAACACTTTGACGGCCGCGGCAAATATCTCGAAAGTTTCATAAAATTGAAGTATTTTATTCGGAGAAATAAAAATTGTATAGCAAATTTATGTGGCATACGTTGCTTTTCCGAACATTCTTACGCCTTGTGAATCTTTATAAAATTAAGAAACTATGATTGACTGGCGAAGAAATTAATTTTTGGAGATTAAATTTTAAATAGCTCTGTATGCTAGCTTGTATGGATGTCGCGGCGTCAAAGTATTAATAGCGTAATTATAATACACTTTTTTGATAGTGCAATTATGATAGTGCAATAATAATAATAATAATAATAATAATAATAATAATAGTGCAATACCTTATTAATAATATGAACAGGATAAATTTGGTTAATAATATAATTATGATGCATTCTTCAGTTACGATAAATAGATTTTTATAATTCAGATTTTCACGAAGTCAAAAACGTCTATATAATATGTTATTCAATAATCTGAAATTATCGAAGATCGTAAAAAGTTTCTGTTCGGGGTCGACGAAATATTATTACACATATCATTTATCTACATTAAATCGAGATAAAATTTCATTTGTTCGTTATCAATACCTCTATTGCTGCTACAGTTAATGCAAACGCACAATAAATAAAAGTTTTCCCACTTCTGTAATATTATATCGACCAATTATTAATTATTGAACACGGTCAAATTATAATTAATATAGAAGTGAAGCAAGCGACATAATTACAATGGTACAAAACAAAAAATATTCGTTGTATAATAACGAGAAAACGTACATAAAACTTATTTCAATTGAAATAATTTTATCGAAGGAAATAAAACAAATAGAATGCTTCAGTTCGTTTCTAAAGTTCGTCGATCGTCGAACAACATATGAAGTACGTTTTAATACGCTATCGCAGCTGTGCAATTATTCTGAAAGTAAATAATCCGGAGGATTGCGTAACGCGGATCAGACATCGTTGACTCGTACTACTAGTTCATAAAAGCTCCTCTACTTCAGCCAAGCGATCAGTAATTCCGGTAATATCTTTCTCCCAATAATACGTTCGTGACTCCCAGCAAATCAGTGTAATACCGATCACTCGACAGGTATTTAAACAAGCTCATAATTTGGTAATCCTCTCCAGATATTCAGTATTACAGAGATATTTATTTTAATCCGCCTTTAATCTTTTATAAAAATTACAAAACTGCGTGGACTGAAGACTTTCAACGTCTATCACGGCGCGCATTTGTACAATAATTAATCTGGATAAGGATTTGATCCTACACGTTGCCTTAAGTATTATTTAAAACCGATAAATTAAGTCGATATCTTGAACAAACAATAGATAGCAACTATTCAAAGGGAATTGTTTTCTGCTAAAAAAGACATTTCTAAAAGACATTGACATTTTTCTTTCGTTTGTCTTCTGGCTAAATTAATTTGTGTGTCATCTTGTAATAAATATTGTGCTTCGCGTTATTAGTGGCACTGTTGTTCCTTTGCAGTAAACCTGCGAAATCCTAATTTATCCTAATTTATATATGGTTAATGGATTTCCACTGATCGACGTCCGAGCCGTTCGTACGTACTCGTTATGGCTTCACATAATTAAGCACGAAATAAATTGAAGAAATGTACAACACTCGGCCATCGTTTTTTCCAAATTTATAGAATGATCTGCTTGCGCGGCGAAGTCGCTGTCAAGATTGTCAGTTCCAATTAAAGTATTTCATGGTATCTTGGCAATTCATTTCCGTGGCCCGTGAATGTAAAACACCGGGTGTCCGGCGATCGGTGATTTGTTGCCGATCGATGTAACGACGCCGAGCGACGCGGTGCTCCGGCGAATCGAATAAAATTCCGCTGCGAGAGGGTGTGCAGGTTGTCAGGAAACGGCGATTTCCAGCAGCCGGGCGACAGTTGATCCGGAGATCGAGTGGACCGATTAAAAATCACTTGGATGGGATCGTCGCTCTGCCGGAAGGATGAAACGCGGCGGCGTCCCTCTGCGCCCCGCCGAGTTCCGGCCAAATAATTCGACGATCTCGTCGAAACCCGTCTGGCCGCGTGTAATTAGTGACTAGTTTATTGAACTTCGCCGGTTACCGGCGAGGGAGCGCGGCTCAATGGAAAAAAATTCGAGCCGGATTTTTAATTAATTCTGGTCTCATCCTCGGCCCTCATTATTATCAGCTTTTCTGTATCACTGGATAAAAAGAAACGCGACCGGCCGTGGAACTTCCCCCGGGAAAGAATGATGAAGCATAAAAGACGTCCGTGAATTATGTATAATTTTTAATTAGCCGGCCGGCAGTTTGTAGAAAATATTTCTCATTTTATTGAAATAACAGTGGTCGATGCGAAGAATTTATCCCGGCAGCCCGGAAACCTGCTTCGCGTCCACCGGAGAATTTCTTGCATGAAAAAGAGATTTCTCGCGGTATATTATCTTTTTGCTTGGAACATTCGATTATGCTTGAAAAGGAAATCGTTCGGAATGTGGATGAATTACTGCCAGGAATTGTAACATTGTGAGACTGATAGCGTCGCGGAGAACAATGGACGTAGAATTATCGTACATTTTAGTGTCCGCGGAAGGCATGCTGAAGCGAAATTTTTTCGAGCAGAGCGTTCGAAGATTTTCGCTGAAAATGTATTGTTTTAATCGCTTCTATTCTAACGCTGATGATTTCATCATTTTCGAAAGACTACACGTTATAGTTAGAGACTTTTTAAGGAATTGTTCGATGAGAATTATGATTTCTATCGCGTATCAACCTAATCGTTTCTCGTTTGGGGATGATCATATTAAAAAAGAATATTAAGATTCCTATTTGAGCCGT